AGTCGGTTGCAAATAATTATCTACAGTAATAAGATTACGATTTTCCCACAATCTAATTAACCAGTTGTAAGTAATTCAGTGTAAGATACGTTTTTAATACTAGTACTGTAAGATCACCGGCTTCTGCATTTCATAGTTGCATATTTAGAAGGAAACTGTTACATTATTCCTGGCTATTGAAGTGAAAGTGCAGTCCATCTGGTGTCTGCCAACGGTCACCGACATACCATGTCGATCAACAGCGAGGTATCGATCGCAATCATCGCATTAACCAGCAACACACATGGTATCGATTGGTAGTCTCCCATATTTTCTTTCAGTCCATGCCTGTTACTGGCTAGTCGCACACTGCTTTTGATCAATCACACAATCTACTCGTGCAACAGCACGAATTACAGTCCACATTTCTCTATGCCAAAATTTAATTCTCAAGGGCACGCGCACGCCAACCGATGTGACTCGACTTGTGCAAGCATTGCCAGAGAAAATAGATACAGTGATTACACTCTCTCCAAGGTGTATTTGCCATGTTTATAAATAATTATTCTGTAAACTAATTTGTGAAAAGATCACACCGAATAGTCCATCTATGATGGAGGATTTTTTGTTCACCCGGATCTGCACGTCTCCGCTGTTAACAAATGTTTACAGCCGATTTGTTGTGGACGTTATGGACGACACCGTGGGCGACGATAGGACCGTGTACCGTGGATACGTTTGTGGAGTTGAAAACGATCAGTGTTGGGTGCGCATCGGCTGCAGTCAGCAGCAACTGCGGCTGGTGCCCATGAAGAAGCTGCGCAGGGTGAGTGTATGGGCCGGACCAAGTTACAACATCCAAGACACTGAAATCGATGACGGAATAGATGTACTGGTCAGTGCTGATGAGGATAAGCCGGAATCATGGCAGCCGGAATCATGGCAGGACCACGCATACAGCGACTAGAATTTTGGACATACTTGTGAGCGTGATCATGGGCATGGAAGGTACGTCCGCACTGTATACATACATGCCCTAAAATATGACCTTGTGCAAGTGCGTAGATTTGCTGCCGCTCCGCAACCTGAAGTCAAAATTTTTGGAAATTTAAAAATATTTTAAAATTTGATGAAAAGCGCTCCATGGTTGTAATTTAAATTGATCTTTATTATTTTTCGCTTTTTGCATCGAAATGTCCAGAAGATCGGATAATAACCTGACATTTAATTTTTTGTCCTATTTGCCTATCTCAGCAATCGGGTATTTGTTTATTTAATTAGCGCATTGTTTACAATAAATAGTCAGGCCAATTCAGCGTAACGTGCACGAGGTTAATTCCACTGACCATGTGAGTCGTTGGTTAAACAGAAGTTCTGGATCTGGAAGGTTTATTTTGCTTTAAGTAGTTTCTGCGAGTCATAAAAATTTCGCTCAAGTTGTGTACTGACACTTTTCTCTAGACAGACTTTGTCTAGAGCTCTTGGTTTTTCCTGCGATTTTAGTGTTTTTTGGTCAACATTTTTGATAAATTAAGAAGCCCTGCCATTTCTGGTTCGAACCAGATTGGCAGGGACAAACAATTTGACGGAGTTGATCGCACGTCTCATCGCTACTCAAGGGCGCCTTCATTACCACTGTGTCGCTGCTTTACCCTGTCCCCCCTGAGTGCATTTCTCTCATTTTCTTGATACTCCGAAGCCCATAACTGTTATCATATGTCGCCCTGTCTTCCTGTCTGGTGTCTGGAGCCTTGCTGGGGCCGGAGTTTGGGCTGTGGGAAGAAGTTCGCTGGTCATGGAGACGGACCGCTTGGGATCTCTGGACGTTGTGCTCGATGTAATCTGGGGCTAGTATTTCAACGCTCTGCGTTTGGCCATTCAACCAGTGACCTAGCAAGTACAGCGTTCCGACGTTTCGTGTGCGTTTTTTCCGTGTCTGGTGCTGCTGAGAACCGTGGATCTACATTCTGGAACCCTGATGGCCCCTGGAACCCTCATTGCTTGCTCTCGCATTACTGTCGACTGTGTGTAGCCATTTTCGCGAACTCCTTGGCTGGTGAATCCTCCATGCCCTGTGGACGGATGAATGAGATGTGGAAGTCCGGAGCCGGACCTCTTGCTTGTTACGCACGATGTAATCTGGGGCTAGTAATTCAACGCTTTGCGTTTGGCCATTCAACCAGTGAACTAGTTTGTGTAGCATGTGTGGGTTCTGTCTTTTGGATTATCATCAGTCTTGTTTGTCGTGTTTTCAGAGTCTGGCAGATTTGCTTGTGTGCGGAATTTGTTCTGAAACATGTAATCGTGTGAATACATGTCACGACTTGAAGGTGGCGGCATAATGTATTTATTATGAACCGCCACTGAGGGCGCAAACAACCAACTGATCGTTGTCATCAGGACAACAATGGCACAATGCAACCGCAGTTGCCATGCTGGACAACACACCACATAGAGGTCACAGCGGACACAACGTTCTCGTGACGTCAGTGCCACTGCACTGCGCCACACGCCCTTCACTTCTGAAGTGCCAACAAAGAAGTACAAATCCGTAGTCATACTAGTCAAAACACGTACGTACAGATACAAGCACCGAATTTTCTTAACAACGAGCATTAATTCCATTTTCCGTATTAAAATGCACAGACTCACTCAACCCGTACAATTGCGTCCTTGTACGTACAACTCGCTAATTCTCCCTTGCTGGTGAAGGTCATCTGGCTGGCTCTCCGAGTCCAGCATTCATCACACTCTTTCCACGCCGTCCGTCTCACCGCGTTCTTCATGCCTCATCCAGGCTGACAAGCATCCGCACGGCTTCTTGATCCAATGGAAACTTACATCCTTTCACCACGTTCCTTGTTCATCATTTCAGAGACTATTCCTTGCCACTGGCACCGTCGCTGGCGTCCACGGCTGTCTGGCTTCGCTCTCCCCTCTGCCACGAAGGAACCGTCGGTCTCCAGGCTTCGCCCATTTCCCAGGTGCGTCGCCGAAACCAATTCTCTTCCTTGGCTGGGCAGCCTTAAGCAGACGTATATCTTGGTCACGGGCCTCACGGAGGAACGGTACTCGTCCGCCTGTCCACCGTCGCGGCTTTCCCAGCTGCCTCCACAGGTGCGGCACTTCTCCTCCCGCCCTGCTTTCCCTCGTGGATCCCCTCCACGATTCAGGCACTCGCTCCCAGCACTAGCACGTTTTACATCCGATGGATGGAGTTGTTGTGCCTCTCCCTCGCTTGTCGAGCGCATCGTTCCGGCAGTAAAGCAGCATACATTAACACCTATACGCCACTAGTACTGACATCCTTCACGCCACTGTCACGACTTGAAGGTGGCGGCATAATGTATTTATTATGAACCGCCACTGAGGGCGCAAACAACCAACTGATCGTTGTCATCAGGACAACAATGGCACAATGCAACCGCAGTTGCCATGCTGGACAACACACCACATAGAGGTCACAGCGGACACAACATTCTCGTGACGTCAGTGCCACTGCACTACGCCACAATACAGTAAGTACTACAACAAAGTGTAGACTTTAAAGGGACACCGCGCTACCATAATTCATTTACTGTGCAGCACAGTAACAGTGAATACCAAAATCATTTATCTCGTCGGTAATTGGGAGAGATGTCTGCATCATTTGGATGCTCTTCTGAGTTTTTTTCGCGTAAAACTCGATTGGCTGATCATCGCCGACAAATCTGTACTGACATTTCCCGAGTTTGTAGACTTCCCTAGGCAGTGTCCAATGTTGCATACGGAAGACGATTTTGTAACATTCCAACCGGCGCATCAGCCAGCACCTGATTATGCCAGCGTGACCCGCCATCTACTACTAAAGAACTGCTTTAATAGCAAGCATTCGATCTGTTTCACGGCCATATCGCAGAGGTCATATGACAATCGGATCCGCACCGTCCCGCGGGGTCGTTTTCTGGCCTGCTGTTACGAGCCGTTCGTTCTTGTACTCCCTTACTGGAAATATAGCTTTACGGAATCAACAACATCCACGTTGGCAGTAGACTTCCAATCAGTGCTAGAGCATTCGTGCCCTGCACTTCCGGATAAAGCGGTCAGAGCCATGTTGACCTGGCTGGATTCGTTGAAAGAGGATGATGTAAGACAGAGATACTGTGGCATCTGGCCGTTTTTTCCGCTGTGTTATGAACTGTGAATATAATAAAAGTATGGTTTGCAAAAACCACGGTTTACGAAGATGATATTTTTTGGTGGAGGAAAAAGAAAAAGCCAAAAACTCTCGAAGACGTCAAAAATGATGTTGCTACCAAGTTACCTCCAAACTGTTTGCTCATGCTAACGCTCGCCTTGTTGGTGCCCGTTCCGGAAGCGTCTGCGCAAATATCTGTAGACACTAAATCTGATTCCGAAGATTCTGATTCGCAATCTTCTGCGCAAGAACACTATGACGCACACGCAGAGTCCGGCTCTGATTACAAAGATTACCTTAAACAGATTCTGTCCTTTAAATTAGGCAATAAGTTTGACGATTTACTTGAGATCTGGAAATGATGCATGGCAATGCATTGGCCATTGGGTGTGCCATGTGATGTTACTCTTCACCGTAACTGGGACAAATTCTCGATTGGCGCCTATGGACTACGGTGGTATACCCGTAATCAGTATTCAAGTTTTATGTAATCGGTATTCAACACTAATGTTTAAACTTTGATCATTTTAATTAAAAATCTGCGCAAGCTTGGTGATCTGTTTACCGGCCGCTGCCGAATAAACTTATTATAATATCATTGTCTCATACGATACTGAGCACGGAACGATAATGAACACTGAACTACGGCCAAAAACAATCAACAACATAAAATTAGTTAAAAACACGCTTTCCCGACGCTTTCTTTGTCTGATAACGAGTCCATTAGGCAATTAACATTTTCTTGTTGGATTTTAAGAAACAGCAAATGCCGGAAGTACTCTTTTGCGCGCTTCTGACAGGCAGCTGCTGGGATGCTGTTTCCAGCCATTTATATGAGCGCGTTTTTTTATTGGGCAATAAACCATGGGTATAACTGCGCTGCAAAACGATTAATGCAGATGACCAATCAACTCTTATCTCATAGTTTTGCGAAAACACAGAATATGTAATCAAAACATAGTAATGCAGGGTTCCATCAATCACTTAGGTGGACGGTCACATCATATTATAGAAAACTTGCAAAAACGTTTATTGCTGCTACAGTTTATCCTTTGTATGTAACCACACAATCTGTATTGGTGCTACGAACAGTCTGGAAGGCACTTATGGCTGCGGCAAGTCGGCTGGAGATTCAAAGCGGCCAATAAACAAGACAGCCTTGGTACGGTTGTGACGAATTGCATAGAGAAAGGGATGATCGGCAAAAAATCGTCGGTAATCAGGAGTGTGACCCCCAGAGCTGCGACCGGCGGTTATCACTGCGCTGGCTGCGGCCGCTTTAGTTCCTTTCTCATCCACCTCTGAAAAATGGAAAAGTTTCTCGTTAAGTATCTTACAAAATTACATCTCGAGAAGTTATCATATCACGCGACAACAGATAGTGTTCCAATTCCGCCATGTATCGCTTAAAGCGTAATCAAGGATTCCATGTTCATTCACAGGTTTTCCCATCTTTGCTTTATACGTAAACTATTCTATAGTTACGGCGGAAAGAGTGTTATGTTATTGGGATAATTGCTGACTATCAGTTGGAAAAAACTTTTATTTAAACCTGAATCATATTTTGTAATAAAATTATCAGTTAGAAAAAAAATTAACAAAGCAGCCGTTGATGCTAAGATCAGAATTCCCTTACCAATGAAGGTTTTATGGAAAGCCCCATCAACATGTGCGGGGCTATGGGGCACCAATCCCGAAAGGTCACATTCTGCAGTGAATATATTTGTAACACCGATGATTTTCAGCAGTTGCAGCAAATCAAAACCGCTCTCCAGCTTGAATTTCGGCAACCGAAGTTCGACTAACATCTGCGCTCCTTTTTCAGCCTTACTCTGCAGACGTTGCAAAACCTCCGCGGTCATGGCTTTTTCCAGACTTCGCAGCCCCGTGTCATTATTGGGCAAGAACACCAGCATAGATGCTTCGTGGTTAATATAGGGAATTTCCAGGTACTTCAAATCCAGTTGGTCATCCTCCACGTATCGAAATTTATCCACAACATACATCATGGACACCGTGGCCGTTGATCCGTTCAGCAATTGAAAATCAGCGTCCGTGATGACTTCCTCAGGTGGAAACACGGTATTCCACTGAGCGTTGAAATACACTGCATTGGCTAAAACAGCCAGGGTGTCCACGTCCAACGCCTCTTCCGGGATAAGATCTTGAATTTCCCCGCCGGTCCGCTCGGCGACCCATTTGTTGATGTCTTTGGCCGCTGCTGCCGGGTTAGCCGCGTAATCCTCGGTCTGAATGGAGGATTTGAGTTGCTGACTGGCCATGGACAGGTAATTCTGATTAAAATTCATACCTTTCCGCAGAAACACCTACAAACCAACGCGTGCTGACAGTTGCACAGTGTTCCGATTAATATATTTACACTACCATACTGTACATAATATTCTTATACAAAAGCCAGTCATAGATGCGTAACCGCAAGTATCTAGACGACAGCCTAATACATCTCCGTCTGCTTGTTTGTAGTCAGAAATGATAACGGTTTCGGACCATACCTAACCAATTTTGCAGCCAAACCAACAACAGAACGCATCTCATTGCTTTAGCAGTATTTAAGAGCATAATTACCTTTAACAAAATTTTAAACACAACGATACAACTAAATGCACTACAAATATCATGAAAATTAATATGTATTAAATACAATAAATACTGATATGCAAAACTAATTCATATTAAAACTGTACACACTAATTTGATATTCATAATTACATATTTCTCGTACATTCTGAAAACGGAGGTTTATTGCTGTCACTACAAATAATAAAATGTAAGTATGATGAGAGTGCGAATAATCTAAAATTTACTGTGCGCAATGCATTGATTACCCCATTGGCCAGTGCTAACTGGAATGCATCATCCTTTAATTTCGTTGACTTCGAGCTGGCAGATGTCTTATTTTTTCCTTTGTTATCCACAGGAGTTGCTGATGCCGCCTTCACTTTCAAGTCGCTCATCAATTGCCCAAACGCACCGACCACGTCCGCATCCGCCCCTGATTTGGTGAATTCCTTGAAATCCAGCGCTTCATATAAATTATCCCGAGCGGGACCGCGTGCTCCTAGATACACCAACACCATAGCGTACAGAATGCTGATGGGAGACACTAAGAAATTTCCCGATTCCACCATCGACGTCGCGCCTCCATAGAGAGCCAGCGAGACATTGTTGATCGTGGGACTTAGGTCCGGCATCGCTGCTTAAAATTGCAGACTTTAGTATAGTACAGCGGGCTAAGACAACTGTCGATTCCACTGCTGCGACAAGAAACGCGGTAAGCAGTTGAAGGAAATGTGCAACAGTTTTTGTAGACAGTGTTAGCGATCGAGTTACAGTAATTCAATAAAATATGAGGGTAGGGCCGATTTGTAATCGAGTCCGCTTCTGGCTTTTCGTGAATTATGGATAATTTATGTGCAGGTAATTGATGTTATTACTGATTAAAAGCAGATTTACTGGTAACTGGCTGAAGGCAACGTAAAGTCCGTCGCCTTTTGTGTGGAATTAAAGTTATAAAGTAAATTCCTATAGTGAAAATACGTAAACTCACCGGATTCCCGGTTGTCTGCTGCAGTGACAGGTAGAAAGGTCATAAATTTTATCATCTCGGAAACTGTAGCGTTTTAATGTCCGCATGCTCGTATTCTGCAAATTAATCACTTAACGCGAAACACATTTACAGCGCCCATACTACAGATAGATACTAGCGGCCTAGCCTACTACTTACTAGGTCGTCGTCTGATAGTGCAGGGCAGTTGTCGATATTTTTGTAACACTTTTACAGTAACCGTGTGTCAGTGCTTCTAAAGTTGTCTGTAATATTAATAACGCTTCATGTTGTACACTTGTAAAAATGGTGATACATATTTTCACGTTCCTGTAGCGATACTGCATAATGTTTAAATAATTGGATCAGTCCACAATCATAGCGTTTCAAGATAGCACGAAACGGCTTTGCTATCTGCCAAGCCGTTGTGATTGACGGGTTGTTGAAGTGGTTGTGAGGTATTGGTAGGCTGCCAGTAATTTCATGGCAGTGAGTGCAGAAATATTTCACAGCTGTTAACCTGTTAACTTTCTCTAAAATCATGCCGCACCTTCGAAAATGTCACTGCCAAGTGCAGACATTGTGTAAGTCAGACAGGCTGCATCTGAGTTTCGGATTTTTGTAAAATGGTTCTGATCGCGCAAAAGTGGTCAAACAGAGTGTGGTTTAGCTAATACTGACAGAAAACGTCGAACAGCAACCATGCTGCTGGCGGTTATTGTCGCTGCAGTTTATTATTTATACAATCATGGAAGCACACCATACATCTAAACTATGCATACAAAACTACGCAGAATTCAGAACTACATTAAAATTGTTCGTGGTAAAAAACTGCAGTTCAAGAGTAAGCTTGAAATTGAATGGCATCTGGAAATAAATAAATAAGGAATGCACGTAAGCTAAACCAAGATGCCCTTTTTTTGACGATGTTAAGCAATACGAGAACAAAACAAAACAAAATATGTCAAGCAAAACTGTCATATATGTGACGAACGGCAAAATCTTTTGTTATGTCCGCTCGGGACAGTAGCAAACAACCAGCTAAATTGACATAACATAGTAACGCTGGCACTTCCATTACCTGTTGCTACGCCACAATGAACATCGGACAATATTCACATTCACGAGAATATACATACATCGCTGCACCTGTACGTACGTTTACGTGCACTATACAGTATACACTATAAAAACTCACATCCGGTCACTGATTTTGAGCTATTCCCGTTTTCCCAAAAACATTCGACTGCTAGCGGTCCCCTTATTGAACAATCGCTATCTCGTGGCATCCTGCAAAACCATAATATTTTGTACACAAAGGGTAACGCTCAATTGACACTGAATGCTTAATGAAATAACATTTCACTGGCTGTCACTACCCGACTGAAGTTACGCGTGCCTGTGCTCTGATCCAATCCTGCTGGAGGGTTGGGATCTGAGTTATTCACTTAATTCGGTTCATTTTACGCACTTTGCGTCTCGCGCTCAGTAGCAGTGTTTACAGCTGTACACGTCTCGACATCCATTGGAATTTGTGGTTTCTTGGTGTGTGTTGCATTCGGTTTTCGCAATCAGGTAATCAATGTTTTAAAAAAGTCATTCAAGTTATCACAATGTTCTTTTTTTGATAAAATTTATGTTTACATCCACTGATATCCGAAAGGTTCCAATTTACCACGGGAAAACTAAAATATAATATGAAATACTGGCACCTGCAGCAATATCGCAAAACAAGTTCCTTATGAAAATTCAGCGACATGGAAACAGTAGCTTGTGGATCTGAGCCACAAAGGTTTCGTAATTTTTGTATTTCTTTGCTGAAAACTACGTACATAAGAATATATTGTTGGACATATTGCTGGAAAGGCTCATTATGATGCTCCCCAGTCCTACAACATCGGTGAGTGAAATCAAGATGATAAAGCACACCTCATTCCATTTGTAATATGCTTCGGCTTGCCAGGACACGTTTGCAAATAGCTAAAATTTTAAGCATAAAAACACTGTTAAAAAAACATATTTTTTGTCAGCAGAAACTTTTGAAAGAACTAGATGAACACTCAGGTTAAGACTACGCTTAAAACTAAGATCAGTAATTCTGATAATACTCTGATAAAACTAATATTTATACTCAGGTTTTCAA